ACTATTTTCTTACCATGAATTTAAAGCTCCTCTTAGTTTGTTACTTCAGAGATCTCAGAACTCCTGTTCCAAAAATTCTATTGTTATCAATAAATATTATCAGTCCCTGAGGGCTGAAATCCTATTGTTTTTGCTCTGTTTACTTATTAGTATTCTTATTATTAACACGCAGGGTTGAAACCCTATCATTTTTGTGCTGGTTTATTATTACTATGGGGGTTCATCTGAAGGTTTAAAACCTTATTGTTTTTGTGCTGGTTTGTTATTAATAGGGGATCAAGCCTGAAGGGCTGAAATTTTCACCAATGACTGGAAGTTGTGTGCAAATGCGGCCCAAGAAATATTTGCCCAATCGACCTGACAGTGGCGCTGTTAAAATTCTATATCATTTATTTAAATATTGGAAATGCCACACCCCTTACCCAATAAGTTGGACTGACTTGAAATCTGACACAAAAGTCCAGCTCAATGTGCTCTACAAAGAAGTCTAAAGAACCATTAAAAGTCAGTTTGAAAAGATTGCACCATTGTGAATTTTTTGAAATTCACATTTTGACATCTCCTAAACCATACAGCAGTTTGACATACATCAATTTTTCTGTATTTTTCTGTGTTATCATTATAAGAATAACTTAAGAATAAGAATAACTTTATTCATCCTCAAGGGGCAATTCAATGTTCAATATTGCACCAGGCATATCTTAAGTTATCAAAAGCTTGTTGATTTCTCATTGCATTTTGAAGATACTGAACAAACTGGACTTTGACCCTACTGATTTTTAAAAAAAAAAAAAAAATAGACCCATTTCTAAATCGTCATTTGAGTACCATGTCATCATTGACCTTTTATACACAGCTGATGCTGGTGATTGTTCAAATTTAATTCCTCTGGATTTGAGCTCCACATTTCACACTGTCGACCACTTGTTCTTATTGAAACACCTCCAAAAGTAGGTTGGTATTAGGACCACTGCCCCTCTGACCTTTGGTGTTCCTTAAGGCTCCATCCTTGGCCCCTTCATATTCTGCATGCACATGCTACCACTTTGACATCATAAACAAAATCCAGTAACCCAGTACCATTGCTATGTAGATACATCAATATATGTCCCATTAAAACTGTTGAAGAAGGCAATTTAATGAAAACAAATCAGAAATAATTCTCTTTGATTCACAAAAATCATCCCAATTTACAGAACCATCTTGGTCTCTTGTCTGCAAATGCCAAACCTGTACCCAGAAACCCCAGAAGGATATTTGACAGTGACCATGCTTATGAAAAACAAATTACAAAAATTGTCCAGTTCTGATTCTATCAATGAAGGAGCATATCAAAGGTCAAGTATTTTCTTTGTGGGCTTGATCTCAAGATCTTGATCCCAGTCATCCATTCTTTTAACTCTTCCCTGTTAGATTATTGTAACTCATTGTATTTAGAGTTCAGTCTAAAAGTAATCTCATGCCTTCAGTTGGTCCAAAATGCAGCTGCATGATCATATCATCCCTGTGTTAGCCTCTCTTCACTTGTTTTAGACTAGAGTTTACGATTTTACTGATCTCTTTAAGCATTTCATGGTTTAGCCTCCAGCTACATTGCTGAAATGCTGTACGTCTATGAGCCAAGGTGCAGCCTCAGATCCTCAGGTGGGGCTCTGCTGACTGTTCCTCAGTCCTGGCTAAAAACTAAAGGTGACTAGTAGTGATGTACGAGTCTATTGTTTTTATCTTGTATTGTCATTGAGTATTCTGCTCTTTTATTTTTGTTTGTTTTTTTCTAATTGTTTAAAATTTGCCTCAGTGCAGTCTTCAGGGTAGTTAATTCCCTACATCACTTATCTGTTTTATTGTAGGTATTTATGTTGTTGTTTTTTTTTAAAAAAACTTAAAAACTGCCTGATTTTATTTGCCTACATCCTGCATTGTTTTAGATCCTGGTTCAATCATGCAAAGCACTTTGTAACTCTGTTTTTAAAAGTGCATATATCTTTGATATAAATAAAGTTTATTAACCATATGTTCGTTTTTTACTAATTTTTCTGTGGAACATTACTGAGCCAAGCTTATCCAAGTTATTTAAAGCTTTTTGATATCTCATTGCGTTTTGAGGATATTGACCTATGAACCTTAAAAGTGACGTGGTTCAGCACATAAATAGACCTGACACCACCACCTTTCAGTCAATCATTACAAAACTTGCAGGATATGTCCACATTAAGTGCCGAAAACATACCCGAAAAGTTTTATTTAAAGGAGCAATAAGCGAAATTCATCATTTCTAGATTGAAGGAATTAAAAAATTGCTATGTGAAGAACTAGAGGTGTAATTTCATTTTTGGAGTATAGCATGACCTCACACACCCTCTCTCTGTGTTGATCTCCAGCCCATTGTTTAAAAGCCAGTCAGGCTGCGCGTTCATGCACATTCATGTGAATTCCCCCCCCTCCTCCTCCTCCTCCTCTTGGAGCCCTTGGCCCTCCCTCCCTATAAAAGGCTACAGCTGGTGAGCAATGGCAGCGCGTATTTTCGAAATGAAATGGCAGAGAGCGGAACGTCCACCTGAAGATGACCAGGATCTGACATTACCTCTAAAGAAACAACGGTTGTTGGCGAAGAAGTTGTCGGATAAAGAAAGGGACAGAACTCGGATTAACATTGGTCTTGCATTTCCAAGGTGGAGAGCACTGCAAGAGCTAAAGGGGCTACAATCTGACTCGGAGCTAGCTCTTCTTCTCCTGGACAGGTACAACATAAAGTCAAATGTCTGTTTTAATTAGTGTTACAGTAACGTTAGGCACATGTCGCTATGTCGATTCAATTAAATTTAATGTTACAATTGTAGCATGGGTTAATGTCCGGAGCTCAAGGTATTAGCGGCTTGGTCCCAGCAATGGGTCAGGCGTTTTGGTTGTGTTAGGTGAGTAGCCCGGCAGCTCAGCTAACATTTGCAATTAGCATTATAAAATGTAGCCTGGTGGGCAGCCTGGCGGCTGTGTTTAGCTATTCCCCTGCCTACTTCAATGATGATGGTCCCTGTAATAAATGCAATATATTTGCCGAAATGGAGGCGAGGCTCAGTGACTAGAAGAGCTGGTAGAAGCGCTCCATAGCTGCAAGCTATTCCAATAGCCGTAGTAGCTCTAGTGCTAACTCTGGGAGCTAACGCCAACATTCCTCTCCTCTCCGTGAGCCTGCCAGGCTCCACGCTAGAGCTCGCCGGAGCCGAGAAGCAGGCTCCCGGGACGTTAGCATGGCAGCCGACTGGTGCTAACGCTAACGTCCCCACGCTTCTCGGCTCCGACTCACTGAGCCTGGCAGAGAAGCGTGGGGACGTTAGCACTAATGGGATGCCATGCTAACATTCCAATTCTTCTCCGTGAGACCGTGAGCCCGGCTCCCGGCTCAGTTGGAGTTGGAGCGTTAGCGTGGTAGCCGAGTAGTGCTAACACTAACAGGAAAGCAGTGAAATAGCTAAACACAGCAGAGACCAAGAGTGAGTGAAAGACATTGCTAACTGCTAAACTAAGCTGGCTGTTTAGGTTTTATTTCGTCTCCCTTGGAGACCAGAGGTAGAGGGAGGAGTGGCTCATGACACACTTTGTTTTGCTCTACAGGCAGTGCACAACAGTGAACCTAGCGGTGAAACGATTTCGCTTATTGCCCCTTTAAAGGAACCCGTAAGGGGGTGCTACAAATGCAAATAATGGACATGGCATAACACAAACCAGCTAACAGCGGCTAACAGCTAACAACGGTGCTGGCCTGTGATTGCATTACCTTTCTCCTTCAGCACAGCAGCCCTCTCCACCTGGGAAAGGCTACCCTGATGTTGACCCTTGTTTTTTGAATTCGCCGGTCATGTTGCCTTTTTGATTCCCTTTTGCGCTTTCTTGGTGACGAAGATTCCGTCTCCCGTGATGCTGCATATGCATGATCCTGCATTATTCTCAAAGAGTGGGACTTTGGTATGCTGCAGTAGTAGTAGTGGCGCAGTGATGTGAAGAGAGGGATGAGGTGTGTGAGGTTGAACCACTTGTCAGTTGTCAAAAGACATGACATGACTGGTTTGTTTCATTTTACACAACAATCCTGCATTGTAAACACAGCCAGCATGGTGAGGAGGGGGTTTGTCAACTCGCGTCACGTGTGTCTGTGTAGGAGCCTGAATGAATACTCCATGAAGTATCGGATGACATGGTTTCATCAATGTTATCATAGCTTTTTGGTACACAGCGGCTACCGTTGTTGCAATACGCGTTTGAAACATTGAGGCGCTAGAGTGCGCTATCCGTTTGAATGCAATATATGATTTCAACGTTAGATGGGAGAAATTCCTACACACTGTGTCTTTAAGCAATGGTTATATTGTTTAGTGTAAAATATTCAATGAGTGAGTCTTGGACCAAAAACTTAGGAATCTTAAACAAAGGACTGACACAGCTGTTATTTTTAGTAGTTTCAACTTATACTGTAAGACCTGGCAAAGACAAAACCTTATATGATAAGCTTTGATTGATTTAGATTGTGCTTGTTATGTATTTTTATGGTATTTCAGAATGGGTTGTGGCTTACTGATCTTAATGGTGGCATTGAATAGAATTTTTTTTTTTCTCGTTTTAAGGAGCATCATTTTTAGCTTTTAAGAATTTTCAAAAGTAGCAGTGTGACTTTGACTGCCATATCAGGGTTATGGTTAATGCTGTCCAACAGTCAACAGGGAAGGACTGGAGTCTGTCAAACATGATCAAGACACCTAAATTACCTACAAAAGATGCAAATCTGATTTTTAAAAAATATTTTTTTGCAAAGCTTTTTGTATTGTTGTCTTTTTAATACATAAACTAAGTACTAATAATTTTTTCAGTATTTCACACCCCTGGTCAACCGATCCAAAGCATAACAAAAAATAAAATAAAACAACTCACTGTCACAAGCCATCTACTCCACAGACAAGCAGCTAAATAAACATTAAGACTAGCAGAAAAGGTAGACATGCGCTTTGTTGGAGTCGATCAGTTTATATTATAATCAACTGTAGTTTTTTTTAAGCTTATTAGCAAAGTGTAACTTGCCGGGGATCAGATCACCTCTGGAATACCTTGAAGATCTGAAAAACAGAGAACAAATCAAAATTCAGCCCTTGATTCTACAAAAAATCCATGTTTGCATTAATTATGTACATTTCTAAGCAGAAATTCCATCAGTACAACAACGGAGTCATGTCATACTCACTACTCTTATATTCGCTTAATAGTATTCTTATTATTCTTATTATCATTATTATTATTATACATTTATTATTTTTACTATTAAGTTACTGTCAATTAAACTAAACATATGCTGCACTGCTGTTCTTGTGCTATAATGTGACACATCTGCAGGAAGTTATTCCTTTGGTTGATATTTTCTCAGTTGTACTCAGAAAAGCAGCACAGCAAGTGAATGGAAATACATTGTAAGTAAAATAGTATTTGCTTTAATAAGGAAGTAGTGGTAACTATGACACGGCCTTGTTGCAGGACTGACGAAATAGGTGCTATTGGTGGTTAGTAATGCTATATATTTACTCTGTTACTGTCATAATGGGAGGAGCAGGTAGACGTATGGATCAAGACACAGATAAAACAGATTAGCAGGCAGTAGGACAAGTTCAATATCTAATAAAGAAACTAAACTTACAGAGAGTCCACAAACAGGCAGGAAGCAAAATGAAATGCAACAAAACCTCCAGGAATGCAAAAACACAAAACACTAGGAATGGGCACAGCACTGGACACAGGAAACGAAACAAAGGTTACGATATTGAAACCCTTGTTCTATTAGCACAGGCGGAACCCTCCACTGGACTCTATGGGTAATACTCCTCCAATCACAAGCACCCATTTGCCCACTGAAATCTGAATCAACATGGCTGGCCAGTCAGAATATGCCTACCCAAATACATGTGGACCCTATAGTATATAAGGCAGCACACAAGGCGGTTGTCAGTGCTCACTCACAGGTGTTTCCCCTGTGTCAGGGGCCTGAAGTGTTGGCGACCAAAAGCATGAGGAGTGACTATTTCTATGAAGTTCTCTTCTTTTTTTCTGTACTTCTTTCCCAACCGTTATTTATGGGATAAAGATGCAGATCTGTTGTACTCTATGCATTTTACTGTGCACTCATCATCTGATTAAGTAAGGGACAGTGACCGAATGTATTTGTACACTTTGTCTATGTCTAATGTATTTTTACATCTGTCTCATAACAAGGGACGGCTACTCAGAGTGTCTTGATGCATGTTGTTTACTTTACTAGGCATTTATGGTCCAATTGTTAATTGAGGGACAGCCACTCAGTACTTTATTCTTCGTACTCTGTACTTGTGATCCGACTGCTAATTGAGGGACAGCTACTCAATGACTTTTTTGCACTTTATTCTTCTTGCTGTACACTTGTGATCTGATTGTTTTATGAGGGACAGCTACTTAGTGACTTTTTTATGCTTTATCCTTCTTACTGTGCATTCGTGATCTGATTGTTAATTGAGGGACAGCTACTCAGTGACTTTTTTGCACTTTATTTTTCTTACTGTGCATTTGTCAGTGACTTCTTGTAAGTTTTTTTCTGCACAGTTATGATCTGGTTGTGAATTAAGAATTGGCATATACTCTGCCCCTTTATACACACACCATTGCTGTTCTCAGTGCACTTGTGATCTGTTGGGTAATAGAGGGACTGTTACTCAGTAACTCTATGTAAGTCTTTTCCTGTGCATTTATGATCTGATTGTTATCTGAAAATTGTGTACATTATCTGCCCCCTTAAGCACACACATTTTACTGTTGTTTACAGTGCCTTTTTTGTACGAGCAGAACTTATTATGCATATGTATATCTATTTTTGGGTTATCTACTGCTATTTTGCCGTGACACACTTGTTTAAGATTGTTGTATTGTTATTGTGTTTATTCCTTGCCTGTGAGTTGGCATTATATTGTATGACGGAAGTGTAAAGTGTCTTTCCACACACCTGTGCTGATTGCTTCGAGCGTACTTAAACGCCACTTCCGTAACCTGAGTTACACACTGAAGAAGACTTTCTGTCAAAACGTCTGTGTTTCTGGTATTGCCATCCAAGTTGGTTTATTAAATTTACCAAAAGGACATTTGTGAGTGCTGGCATTTTTCCCTTTTTCGGACCAAAAGCATTGCCTGTAGCTTGAGGAGGTTGATGTGTCAGACCTCCATCGGAGGCCACACACCACCACTCTAACATATTAATAGACTGTCTCCACCATGGCGCTGGAATTAATGGCACTGCTCTGAACTGGTTCACATCCTACCTCAACAATAGAACCTTCTCTGTAAACATAGGCACACTCTCCTCTCCCCCAGCTACTCTCTCCTGCGGGGACCCACAAGGTTCAGTCCTAGGTCCCATTCTTTTCTCCATCTACATGCTTCCCCTCGGTCAAATCATTCAAAAAAATGACATCTCTTGCCACTGCTATGCTGATGACACCCAGTTCTATCTTCCCCTCATTCCAAACGACCAATCCAAACTCACCAACATCTTCATCTGCATCAGTGAAATAAAGTCCTGGATGGCAGTAAACTTCCTTCAACTAAATGAAGCTAAATCCGAAATCATTCTCTTTGGCCCCTCTGACAACATCAACCTGATATCCAATAGTCTTGGCAGCCTGTCCACTCTTATCAAACCTCATGTCAAAAACCTCTGTGTCATTTTCGATTCTGCACTCAAGTTTGATAAACAGGTCAATTCAGTAGTCAAAGCCAGTTTTTTCCAACTTCGCACCATCGCAAAAATCAAACCATTCCTCAGTTTCAACGACCTAGAAAAAGTCATCCATGCTTTCATTTCCACCCGCTTGGACTATTGCAACTCTCTTTACACTGAAATTAATCAGTCATCTCTCTCCCGTTTACAAGAAGTACAAAACACTGCAGCCAGACTTTTGACAGGTACCCGAAAGAGAGACCACATCACCCCTGTCCTCTCTCCACTGGCTGCCAGTGCAGTACTGTATTGATTTTAAACTTCTTTTATTCACATACAAAGCCCTGAATGGAGTGGCCCCTTTCTACATGACAGAACTTTTAACCCCATACTCCACCTCCAGACCCCTCAGGTCGGCTAACCTAGGGCTTTTAACTGTTCCACGCCCTTATTTTAAACTCAGGGGTGACCATGCCTTTGCAGTCGCAGCCCCCAGACTCTGGAACAGCATTCCCCCCTCTGTCAGACTTGCCCCCTCCATCGACTCTTTTAAATCAATGCTAAAAACGTTCCTTTTTACTAAAGCTTTTGAGTCCTCCTGATGTTGCCTATGTGTTTATTTGTGCCTTGATCTATGTTGGTTGCTGTTTTTGTTCTGTTTATTATTTTACTTCACTTGTATCTCTTTTATTCGTTTTTAACTGTACAGCACTTTGGTCAACTTGGGTTGTTTTTAAATGTGCTTTATAAATAAATTTGACTTGACTTTTTTTTAACTCAATTTTTATTTATTTTTGTCAACAACAGTACAGTATATATCCATACAATTATCTTCCTTTCCAGCTGTATCCATATACAACTATACATATTCAAGTGTTAGTCAGATGCTTAAAATATTAAATGTCCACTCCAAGACGCATAGAGTAAAGAGAGAGGGGGGGACAGAGAAACAACAGCGACCATCACAACAAGGAAACAAACAAGTTAAAAAAAAAAACAAAAAGGAAAAAAGGAAAAGGGGGGTGCAGTATGTACCCGAAAGGGAGCAAGGAGCGAAAGTCAAACAGAGGGGTCAAGCAGCAAGTCTCACTGCATTAACAAAGGGATAACAGGGCTCCATCGAACAGCAAAAATGGATCTTTGGAGCCTTAATGAGTATGTAATTTGCTCCATTTGATAAAGATCCCATACTTTTTGGATCCATATGATATAAGTGGGCGGATCTGGTTTCAGCCATCTAATGGTTATACTCTTTAATGCAGCTGTAAGCAATATATTCAATAAATATTTCTTGGCCTGCCCCTCCAATCCTTTAGGAATCACCCCCAATAATGCCACTGTAGGTTCCCGTGAAATATCTTGTTGGAAAACCACTTTAAGGGCTTCAAATACCTCTCTCCATTAAGCACCTAATTTAGGACAGGACCAGAATATATGAGTGTGGGTAGCAATATGTGCTCCACAGTTCCTCCAACATGAACTTGAATGAGCTGGTCCCATCTTGGCTACTATTTCTGGTGTCCTGAAAAATCTAGTAATTATTTTCCACTTAAATTCCCTCCATGTGTTAGAATTTGTAGCCAGGTGTGCCTCAGTGTACACCTGCCTCCAGGTATCCTGTGATATAACCTTGTTCATTTCCGCTTCCCATCTCTGCTTTATCTGTAGGAAGTTGTGCAGATTCATAGACAAAAATATATGGTACAATTTGCTAATTATTTTCTTATCTCTGTTCCCTGTTTGTATTTCTATTAAGAACTCTTCTATGGGGGTAGATTTTATAAGTTTTGTCAATTCCTTGTGTGTTGTCAGGAAAGTTCTTAGTTGTAAATATCTTAAGAAATCTGTCCTTGGGAGATCAAGGTCATTTTTCAATTGTTCAAATGTCTTAAGATTTCCACCATTAAATAATTGCCGCAAATAAACCAGTCTGTGGTCTGACCATTTTCTAAAACTAGTATCTAGGTTGTTAGGTGTAAAGGTCTTCATAAATCCAATATTTGTTAACGATGAAATTATCTTGGGTAGGCCAAAAGCTGATTGTATCTTTTTCCAGATTTTAAGAGTAATCTTAGTCCAATCTGCCAATTCTTTTATGGGTGTGTCTAGAAAGGGTAGAATTTGCATGGGCTCTGGGCACATACTTTGTTCAATGTTAAGCCATCTAGTATATGTGTCGTTCTGAATCCATACTATTAAAGGCTTCTTTTGTGCAAGTTTGGAAGCTTAAGGCTGCCATCTAATTTAGACAACTGTAAGGTTTTAAGTCTAATTCTAGGGCGCTTTTTTTGCCATATGAAATGTGAAATTATTTTATCCAACTTATCAAAAGTTGAGTTCGGAATTTCTACAGGTAACATCTGGAATAAATAAAGCAGCCTTGGC